GAAATGCATGGTTACAGGGACAGGGTAGCAGCGCAGGTCTGGGTGGGATGTTCCTCGGAGGGTAGGTACAGACTTGATGGGCCCAATGACCTACTTCTACACTGTAGGGAATCCACTACTGTCAATGTTTAGCTCAATGATGTGGGGCAATTTATTCTGATCTGAGCACTGCACTTTGATGAGATTCACTTTCAATTTCTAAACTAATGGGGAGGTAATATCTAATTCTGTCAGATGGCCGGAGTATACTCTGAGGACTTGAATTTGAACCTTGCTGTGGCAGGTGGTGGATTTTGAATTCAACTTTAAACAAAACAGATCTGGAGTTAAGACTCTAATGAAGACCATTGTCAGGAACAAAGAACCATCTGGTTCACTTGTGAAGACTGACATGAGAAGGTATTTCGTTTCTAAGAGAGCTAAGAATCTTTGGAACTTCTTGCCACAGAGAACCATGTGTATTTGTGGCAGCAGGGGGAAGGCAGATTTAATGCTGGGATTATCAGGTTCTTGATCAGCTGGGGAATCAAGGGAAAGAGCAGGAAAGTGGACATGAGGAATGGTGGATCAGCCACAGTCCTATAGAATGGTGGAGCAGGCTCGAGGGGCCGAATGGCCTACTCCCATTCCTGTCTCTGATGGTCCTTATGGGAGCGAAATCTGCTGTTCTTACCTGGTCTGCTCTGCACGTGACTCCTAACCCTTTGTGAACTCTTCATTGCCTTCAGGCCAAGCAAGTCGATCCGTTTAAGGACATTTTGAGATTGGCATCCACTTGCCACCTTGGCAGAGCTGGCCACATCCTGTTCAGAGTACAGAGAAATAACATTCATCATAGTCAGTTTTAGGCTTGTTCCAATTGTGTGCTTTTCTAAGAGGAATTGGTCTGTATAACAACCCCAGATGTTTACAGCTCATCCTGTACACTCTCACTGTCTTCCAGCTAAAGTGTGCCCGCGCGCTCACCACCCGCCCCCTCTGAATTTCCAGCTTGTAGACTTGACACTGAAATGCTTCACCCAGTTTAATGTGGATCAGCGTGAGGTTATCCGCTATGGGAGCAAAACCAGGAAAACAAATTGTTATCCGAAAGGTGACAGATAGGGATGTGAGGGTGCAATAAGACCTGGGTGTACCTTGTACACCAGTCACTGACAGTGAGCATTACAGGAGCAGCAGACGGTGAAGAAGGGAAATGGGATGTTGGCCTTCATAGCGAGAGGGTTCGAGTCCAGGAGCAGGGCTGTCTTGCTGCAATTGTACGGGGAGAGACCACATCCTGCAGTATTGTATGTGCAGTTTGGAGTCTCCTTCTCTGAGGAAGGATGTCCTGGCTATGGAAGGAGCACAGCAGAGGTTTCCCAGACTGATTCCTGGGATGGCAGGACTGATGGACGAGGAGAGACTGGATCAATTAAGATTATATTCACTGGTGTTTAGAAGAATGAGGGGTGATCCCATAGAAATCTATAAAAGTTTAACAGGACTAAACAGGGGTAAACACAGATATTGCTGATGGCCAGAGTAGGGGGCGAGGGTGTGTGAGTCCAGAATCAGGGAGTCACAGGCTAAAGGAGACAGGGAAGGACTGAGATGGGGAGAAATGTCTTCACCCAGAGGGTGGGGAGCCCGTGGGATTCTCTGCCACTGAAAGTGGTCGGGGCCAGAGCAGTGAATGTTGTTCAAGGAGTTGCATAGAGATCTTAGGGGTGAAACAGAGAAAGTGGAGAAATAGGGGATAACTGGGGTAATCAGCCATGATCCCATTGAATGGCTGGAGCAAGCTGGAAGGGCCAAATACCCTAATCATAGAGTCATGCAGCACAGAAACAGACTCTTCATCTCAGCTCGTCCATGCCGACCAAATTTTCCAAACTAAACTAGTTCCATTTGCCAGCATTTGGCCCATTCCCCTCAAAACCTATCCTGTTGATGTACTTGTCCAGATGCCTCTTAAATGTTGTAATTGTATCAGCCTCCACCACTTTCTCTGGCAGCTTGTTCCATATATGCACCCTCTGCATGAAAAAGTTACTCTCCAGTCTCTTTTAAATCTTTCCCCTCTCACCTTAAATCTCTGTTCTCTAGTCTTGGACTCCCCTACCCTGGGGAAAAGACCTTGGATATTCACCTGATGTACGCCCCTCATGATTTTATAGACCTCTGTAACATCACCACTCAACATCCTACGCTCCAGGAAGAACAGTCCTAGCCTATCCAGCATCTCCTTATAACTCAAACCCTCCAGTCTCAATAATATCCTTGAAAAAAATTTTTGTGTCCTTTCTAGTTCAACATCATTCCTGAAGCAGGGCGTCCAGAATTGTACACAGTACTAGAAATGTGGCCGGAGGAGGGGCTGAGGGCACGTGAGTCCAGAATCTGGGGGTCACAATCTAAAGGAGACAGGGTAGGACTGAGATGGGGAGAAATGTCTTCACCCAGAGGGTGGGGAGCCTGTGGGATTCTCTGCCACAGAAAGTGGTCAGGGCCAGAGCAGTGAATGTTGTTCAAGTAGTTGCATAGAGTTCTTAGGGGCGAAATGTCTTGTACAGCCACATCATAACATCCCAACTCCTATACTCAGTGTTATAACTGATGAAGGCAAGTGTGCCAAACTTGCTGTCTGCCTGTGACTCCACTTTATGGAACTATGTGCCTGCGCCCCTTGATCCCTCTGTTTGACAACGCTCCCCAGGGCCCTACCATTAACCTGCCCTGCTTTGCCTCACCAAAAATGCAACACCTCCATATTTGTCTAAATTAAACTCCACCTGCGAGTCCTCGGCCCATTGGCTCAGTTGATCAAGTTCTCGTTGTACTCTGAGATAACCATCTTCACTGTCCATGAGGCCACCAATTTTGCTCCTGCTCCTCATTTACTTTGTTTCTGTATTGTCCTATTTTCAGGCTGACCAAGCAGACCAGCAACCATCCTGCATCACATACGCCACCCTGAGGCACACAGATATGAGAGGGGATGAGGAACCAGGTCAAGATGAAGAGGGAAACATTTACGCCAACCTTCCACGGACATTGTGAGACAGCACAGAAGAATCCCTTCGAAGCTTCACAAATTGATAGATAGCAATTGTTCCTTCCAGCAAATAAGGGGGAGAAGGAAGAGAAGACAGAGGAGTGTCAAGTTTCTGAAGCTGACAAATCGTTAAGCTTTGTTTCAATTCACTCAGCCAGACATCAGTTCCAAAGATGAACTTGCCTTGAGAAATCATCTGAATAACCATCTCTCACATAACTCTGAGTGGGCCAATTTCTCCCGCTGCAGCATGATCTGACCCTTGATGGCAAGGATTTGAGATTTTGCACTGTCCATTCCTAACTTGAGTATCCATTTGATCTCCTGGTCAGTGGGTCAGGGCAGATGAGCCAATGAATTGAATCTACTCCGCATTTATTTTTTAATTGTGGAGAGCTATTATTCAAGGTGGGATTGTTCTCCAGCCCTATCTACATTACCCTCTAACTTCATCATTTTCAAATATATATCCAGCTCTCTTTTCATACCTCATATGGAATCCACCTCAACCACTCTCCCAGGCAGCACATTCCAAATCCTAACAACGCTCTGAGTAAAGATGTTTCTCCTCATCTCACTCCTAGCTCTCTTGGTGACAGTCTTGAAATTGTGACCCCTGGTTACTGACATAGTGGAAACAGAGTATTCTACTTTACCCTCTCAAAATTCTTCATAATTTTGAACACCTCCATCATGTCCCCTTTTAACCTTCTCTGCTCCAAGAAGAATAAGCCTGATTTCATTTATCTTTCCTTGAACGTAAAATCCTTCATTCCTGCTGTCATTCTAGTAATCTCCTTTGAAACATCTCCAGAGGGTCCTTCCTTAAATAAGGTGCCCAGAACTGAACACAAACGTAGTCTGACCAATGTGGTCTTAGCAATGATTTGTAGAGGTGTAGCATTACTTCCTTGCTTTTATACTCAGTGCCTCTATTTTTAAACCCAAAGATCCTTTGAGCCTGCT